AAGAGGCTCCCACTTTTGCATTGTCCAGCCTACCTTTCTTTCCCTGTCGACTCCATCGATCGAAGCTTTCGTTGGGAATAAATGTCACAACACAGATGGATTCTTCTCAGCTACCATTTATGTTTCACTGGTTAAGTATTTCCAATCGGTCATGTCATGCTTTACTGATCCTTAATAGCGATGCCACACCTGTATTCGTCGACGACCTCTGCTCCTTCGTCTTCAATCTCTTAGCCCAAATGATAAATGGCAGAGATGTGCGTCTTCGATTTGGTGTTTGGTAATTAGGCCTTTTGCTCTTCGAAGGATCATTCATGCCACTTACAATTCCTTCGACTCTACCAGGAAACCATTTGTTAGATCGACTTCTATGTAGACAACATAGTTTGAAGTTGGCAGAACGTCGGAAAGACTTGAGGGTGGCAGTAAGGATCAATGACCCAAGAGTAGAATAGAACAACTTTGTCCCTGTGTTGCAAGTCGACAGAATATAGGATGGAGGAGAGATTGTCTTTGAGTGGAAGACGTTGATGCGTGTCGTCTTCCCTTTCTCCGTGGATAAGCTGCAAGTTTCGGACGACCATTTCCTGTCCCTTCATCCCCACCCTTCCCTGTCCTTTTCATGATTCTGCCAGGCACGGCAACTGCGGGCTGGTGAAACGTCTTCATCCCTTCGCTTAGTCCGCTTCTCACCTAAAGAGCCATTCATCATTCGCAACCTCACCACTCACTGCTCCAACCCATATTTCATGGCCAATTTAATGTCTTCTCATCCCGTATCATGAGACGGCCGGCCAAGGCTTCATCTGCAACTCGGCATGCCCACCTTGTACAGGTTGGCAGAGTAGAAGACCAAGAGACAGTTGGTACCATAATAATTAGTGTCTCCACATGATGCTTACCTAAACATGCATCGCCCACCAACTTGCTCATTCCTTGGTGGAGAAGCGAGACCACTACGTTAACTTGGATTAGATTATGTGGCCAAATAACTTAGATAAAGATATATTAGATGCTTAATTACATCAATTATTATTATAAGTCTTCTTGTGCATAGAATCCAATTCAATAATGTCGTAGAAAGATAAGCATTGCATAATATTTCAATCTTAAGCATTTCTGTTGTTAAATGAGAGGTGGAATCTCACGACTAAGTAACGAGGGCTCAGTTGTTGACCCTCAAAAGAGGCAGAGTCGTCCACATGCAATTGCCGTTTGCCGACGCAAGCATCACAGTCCCATCAGATATAAAAGTAATGGCCATGGAGAAGACCCTTTCCTCGCAAGATTCAACAAACAGAAGAAGAGCGAGGAGACGGCCAACTGTGGACTCGTCCGAGGAGAAGATGCTACTCACCGTCGTGGTGGTTCTGCTGCTGACCGAGTGCGTGGCTGCGAGCGATGGCGATGGAGTTGCGGTGACACGACCGGAACGGGAGCTGGATATGATGTGTCCCTGCTATCCGTGCGGGCAACCATGCAGCATTCCGAGCCCCCCGCCGCCGCCACCGCCTCCGCCACCGGCCTGCCCGCCGCCGCCGCTGCCACCATCGCCGCCATGCTACTCATGTAACCAGCCGCCAACGCCACCGTGCTACTCGTGTTACACGCCGGGGAACGTGTACCCGGTGGATCCAGAATACCTTCTTTCGGGGGCTTGGCGGACTCATCACGGATGGTGGACGGGGATGATATCCTGTGGATTACTAGCGATGTTGTTTTAGAGCGACGATGATACGTATGTATCATCCATCGCAGATCTGTCCGTTTCCTTCTCTCCTCTCTGTCTCTCTGAATTGCAGAATTGTACCCTTCAATTCGAAGAAATCCTGCTTCCACATGTTCATTGATTCGCGACTCGTCCTGTGTCTCTGTTCTTTATGATTGCCGGAAGAAGAAAACACATCTCGAACATGATGTGAAGAACAGAGGCCAAATCAGAGAGAAATATTATTATTTCTTCAACAAAATAAGGTATCTATAAAGAAAGACTAAAAAAAATCCAGAAAGCAGATTGTTTTTTCTCTCAATGTTAGAATAAAAAAGGGAGGTGACGTATAGAATCTTCCTTTCTTTTCGTCTCCTCATTAATTCAGGAGCATATCGAGTCAAATGAAGCCTAATTGCTCGCATCATCAGAATACTCTTTTCTACACTCTCATCTTCTTTCTTGTCTTCTCCGCTGGCTTCATATGGAGTTCCACAGTTTGCACTGCCGAGACAATACAACCACCTGCTTCATTTGACCATTCGTCCCTGTGAATTCTTATCCTAAACTAATTTAATGCAAATAAATAGTGAATCAGTGTAGAAAAGGAACGAGTAATCACTTGAAGAGGTTATTCTCGTTTCTCTTTCACCAGTTTCCAAGCATAGAGATAGAGTAGTCCAGTCCACCCTCCTTTCTCTGCTGTTTCTTTGATGACCAAAGCCACCGGCACACGACGAAAGCATGCAACCACCCCTCTCTCGCTCTCTCCTGGAAGGCACCTGTCATCAGTACAGTTCATGAAACTTGACCCCTGCCAAATGCTTACAACGTAGACGTTAGAATATTCTATCAACTCTTAGCTTGCGAGGGAAATAATTATGCAAATGATATTACCGGTATCATATGTTACATGCAAATAATTATGCATTAGAACACGTTAATTTGACAGAAGTTAATTCTCAGGACAAAACGATGAGCTCCGTCCCATAATATGCCGTCTCCTTTGTTTCTTCTTCCCTACCGCACCTCCACCTCACCTCATAAAATGATGCTCTCCAAGCTCTTCCACGCCACCACCACTCTTTTATTCCTTCTAATTCTCTTGTCGAATCCTCCGACGTCTGTCTCATGGGACACCACCACACCTCCGGAATGTCCGTATCCGTGCCTACCGCCACCGACATCAGTCACAGACTCCCCGCCCACTCCGCCGAGCACATCGGAGTATGGAAACTACCCTCCGCCCCCGCCGCCGCCGCCACCTTACATCGACTTCCCTGTGCCTCCCCCTCCAAACCCAATCGTGCCTTGGTTCCCTTGGTACTACAATGCACCACCGTCGTCTTCCGCGGCTTGCAGTGGCTTCTCCTTCGTGTTTGTTTTAGTAGACATTGTCTTTTGTTGTTGAATTCCTTCACTCTGTTTACCCACAAAGTTTGAATTGTTCGTGTGAGAATGAGGAGATCTCCCTCTTCTCTTCTCTCTCCATTTGCAGTGATCTCTAGATAAAGTCTTATGGTAGTAAATGAATGACGAGAAGGGTTAGTTGGTGCTCATCAAGTTTGACCAGAAGTGAAGCAAGGAGAAGGCGGGCACTTTTTCCTTGTTTCCTTCGATTATTATAGTGATCGATCCACCCATGTTGTAAATGGCAAGCATCCTTCTAACTGCATGTTCTATTTTATCGATTTTAATGCTTAATTAGATATACGAAACTAGAGTGGGTTGCTTATTATAGTTCTCGAGATCCAAGAATATGAAGCTTCGAATGTCCGTAAGTAACTTCATCAAAAGACAAAA